ATAGGTTAAAGTTAGACATTAACATCGTTGGATATCGGCCGGCTCAGTGGTCTAGTGGTTAAGCGCTCGCTTGCGAGAGTGGTAAGTCCTGGATTCGAATCTCACTAGACGAGGTCGTGAATGCTCACTGCCACGGATGAGTTCGAAACTCGGACGACACAGCACATCCAGTGCTTCCAGGTTTTCCGTGGTGGTCTAAATTCAGTTGACTCATGATTTCAACCTGGGAACTCAAAGTTATAGACAGACCACTGTAGTATACGAGATCAAGTCTCTACCAAGTTAAAAAAACGGAACTGCTTATATGCAAAGATGGATAGTGGTTAGCTGTGAAATCCAGGACATATGTTTCATCCTATTTGGAACTTTCCAGCCAGATGTACCTGTATCCCACAGTTGATGTTAACTTCAGGACTCGAACTCAATACCGTTCGCTTCAAACGTCATTGCGCTATCTACTTAGCTGCTGAGTCCTGATAGCAACCTGCTTGTGCAATGGGGTGAAGCTATATTCACTTGATGTTGTTTACTTGTATCTTCTCATTGTTGTTTATAAGTGCAATTGATCAGTCTCTTGTTGGCAGTCTGCACAGTATGCACATATGCTAATAAAAGACTGATCAATTGCACTCCTAAATAACAATGGGAAGATACAAGTAAACAACATCAAGTGAATAGAAATACTTATCATTTCAAAAAGATAATAGTCAATTAGTAGTCTACTTGAAAGACTTAGTTAAGTCTTTGAATATTTTTTTTATAAAAAATTCTGGATCGTGGATGCACACTGATGAGGAGTCTCATACTAGGATAAAACAACTGTCCAGTGCTTCCAGGTTTTCCATGGTAGACTCATGAATTCAACTATTAAATTACAACAAATTCGGTTCATTTTGTAAATGTAGGAATTATTATTTCATTTTAGAATTTTTAACAATCGAATTCACAAGTCGATTGAATCTAGACTTCTATTGAAAACCTAGAAGCATTGGATGACCGTTTCATCCGTGTATAAGATTCCTCAGATGTGCGCATTTACAATTCTACACGTGGGACTAGAACTCAGAATTCTACAATAAACGCCTGTAAAGATTAAAGGCAAGATTTTAACTGGAACTAAATGCTGATTTTAGCAACTGGTATTAATGTTTACCACAGATATCCATAATAATAGAGATACCTTACACATCATTTTTTAAATATTCAATCAATCAATAAATTCAAATCAATGAAACTAGCCGTTAATCAATAATCTAATGTGTGCTTACAGTTTATAAAATCAATAAATTAATTTATTTAAATGAAAAATAGAATTATCAGTATAGAGTTGTGGAAATTATTGATTTTTGGATGAGATTGTGAATCGATCAATGTTAGATCACTGTTGAAAACCTGGAAGCACTAGACAGCCATCTCTTCCTGATACGGAACTCCTTAGCAGTGGAGTTCAATCAGTGTCGGGTAGATTTAGGTACCTGACTCAGACAATGGATGAATGATTGCGCAAAAATCCATGGATTTATGAGAGTTAAACATTAAAACCGTTAGGTGTCGGCTCACTGGTTTACAGGTTAAGCGTTCGCGCACGAAACCGAATATCCTGGGATCGAATCCCAGGTTCAGGATCGTGGATGAGTGCTATTGAGGAGTTCCATACTAAGACGAAATAACCATCTAGTGCTTTCAGGTTTTCAATGACGATCTAGCTTACTTCGATTCATGAATTCAACTACGAAATCTATTTTGACAAATAGTTTTCACTTTGTAAAAATCGATTGAAAAATCAATAAATTTCTTTCTGCAAAGGTAAATTAAACGTAAATTTATAAATGTGCTTTTAAATTAAGAATTAATTTATTCTCATTCACCTGATTATCATTAAAAAAAGATCAAACGGAAGGTATTCCGAATTGGAATTAATAGAAATAGAAATATACATAAGACAATTAGACTAATACAGTAACAATGGTATAGTATAGTATATATGATGATCACTAGAGACTAGTTAATGCTTAGATGGTGGTTGGAGGTAGTCAACAGGAAACCCTGGACCCAAGCTTCGTGCTACTTGGCACTCGTCAGCAAGGTGTACCTGTAATCTTGAGGGATCTGGTGCTCCCTGACGGATCCGATCCCGTGTCACCCAACTTCACAGTCAGAGACGTTACCACTGAGCTATCCGGGCCACGACTGACCTCTTGTAGGACTGAGCTGTGATCACAATTGATTGATCACTGGATGGTGATCAATGTCATGTCGTCAGGGAGCACTAGTTCCCTCAAGATTACAGGTACACCTTGCTGATGAGCACCAAGTAGCACGAAACCCGGATCCAAGATTTCCTGTCGATTACCTCCAACCACCATCTAATCTCAATATATAGTGCACGCAGTGTTGAGTCACCTAGACTGGTGGCCACATTGCAACATGGTGGATAGCATTCGATCTGCACTAAATAAGAACTTGTCACACGTGACATTGATCATCACTCAGTGATCTATCAATTGTGACTAGTTAATGCTAATATATATTCACTTCAATTTAAATAGATGTCGATTATTATTTAGTGAATGAACATTGAACTTAGGTTGTACAATCAATTGCATAACTTTATGATACATTATTCAAATCTACTGAGACGTAGCAATGTGGACTAGTGTATGCTTATTTTATGGTCAGATGATTAGGTATTCATATGAAGGTCCTGATTTCGGTCCACTGTAATGGGGTTATGGATGTATATTGCTGTTGAACAATCCCATACTAGAACAAATAATCGTGCTGATACTTCCTAGTTTTTAACGGTTGTCTAACCAAGATCATTTCGTGACGTAAACTATGAAACATAACAATCTCTATAAATTCTGTGCACTTACTTACTTAATTACACCTGTTACTCCGAATGAAGCATGGGCCGCCGACCAGTATTCTCCAACCCACTCTGTCCTGAGTCTTCCTTTCTAGTTTTATCCTATTTTTGTTCATCTTCCTCATGTCTATCTCCATTTCTCAGCGTAATATGTTCTTTGGTCTTCCTCTTTTGTTTCGGCCTTCAGAATTCCATATGAGCGCTTGCTCTGTGACACAGTTGGGTACTTTCCTCAATGTGTGTCCTATCCAATTCTAGTGCTTCTTCCGCCTGGAGCCCCTTCGTGGGCTACTGCCGGTCTCAAATCCGGACAAAGGAGGAGGGTTGGGCATGGGGTTAGCGACCCCATCCCGTAGAACGCTAACTCGCTAGAAAAACCCTAACCAGGAAAATTCTGCGCACTATCAATTCTATTTCATTTTTAACGTTAGAATGATATTTCGTTGATAATCTTTAAACAGAAAATAGTACCATTTGTATGTAAATGAAAATTCCAAAAGAAACATAATTGGATGATTTAATTTGAAACATGTTTTGCATAATAATCATTTCTTTATAATAGTAATTCTATGAACTGTGATAATTCTATGCCTCGATATTACCTTAGATCGCAAGCACTATAAGCAAAGATGCATACGCACAGTATCTACATACGCCGGTCCTAAACGTCAATGGGAGATTCAAGTAAATAATACCAAGTGAATTTAAACTTCACCTCATCGCACAAGTAGATGGCTATTATAACTCAGTAGCGGATAGTACTGGGTTTGAGTCCCAAAGTGAACACCAGCTCTGAGATGAAGGTACATCCAGCTGACGAGTCCCGACTAGGACGAAGCGCGCGTCATGGATTCCACTGCTAGCCACTACACATCTTTGCTTACAAGGTTTAGAATCATCTCGAAATACCGAAGTTTTTTATAAAATGCCATAATAAATAGCTATTATCTTCAAGAATGGAGCAATCAGTTTTAGTTTGAAGCAATATATATATATATATATATATATATATATATAGCCTCTTAAGAACGTTAATCAATTTCATGTACTATATTGCCCATTCAGAACTTCATTTATCGATTAATTCACTTGTATTACCAGTAGGACCAGTGGCCTACTATGTATCAACTGTTACACCAACCAAAAAACACTCAAAACCTTAATGCTGGTTAGCGATCGAGGCCATCCTAAACACAGTAGCCAATCAGAGGACGTGGATAGGAAACAAATTAGTTTCTTGTTTTGCTCAAATTGATTGTGATTCAAAACATATACAGTAATATACTTTAAATTCCTGACCACAGAGGGCATCAAACAAGAAATCATGATTTAAACATAATCATAACATCAGTGATAGAGAGCAAACCAAACAGTACCTGATTAATTACCGATAAATTTATACCATACTGACGACTTTGAGAGACCTATCAGACAACCAGGAAACGCTGTCTGGTTATTAAAGAATGAATAACAAAGAGCGATAAAATAATAGCTTTCATCTGAACAATCAACCCTCACATGTTAAATTATTTCTTGTAGCGAAGGCAAAGGTCGGAATAGTATCGTGAGTTTGAGTTTTTACCCCCATAGAGTTTTCGTTACCAAATAACTTTGATCATAATGTCAGAAGGTGAGGGTTATATTTTACGAGTTTTAATTCGGGTTAAGAAATTAGGGTCGATTTACAAACTTAAGAATCTTGGGGCTGAGATTTAGAGTAAGAGTTAGAGTAGTAGAATACCGCCTAGTTTCAATAAACACTCTTGACTACGCATTGAATCATTTCAGGTGACTTAACACACAATCTTCCTTTGAAGCAGGTATTTTTCGTAGTGTAGTTAGCACCATCCTAAATTCACTTTTTGGCTGCATAATATATATTTCCATTGACGAAAAGCACTTTAAGGACCCGATGTTGCCAATCTTCATTTCGCCAATAATAGGATACAAGTTATCTATCATTGAACTTCAAATGTGTAAAATACATAGGGCGTTACTTTGCTTCCGATTGGTTAATCTAAAGCCGTCGGTATAATATAATTTTACCTGACTAGGAATATGAATATAATTGTAATTCACATCTTTTGTTTGCTTAATTTATTCTATAATTTTCACACTTTCGTTTTCACAGGACAACGTACTACATCAACTCCAGTGCGAAGTCATTTACCTAGATCACAGCCAACTCCAACCTCAAATTTTACTAATATTCCTGCACAAGCCCCATACCCGACGGGTTCATCACAAGTTCCATATCCAATGAGTTCATCTCAGGCTCCATATCCAATTAGTTCATCACAAGATGGAATGCCAACAGGAGCAGCAGTGATATCGTCGGCGCCTAACTTTGATCAACCACCACCATATCCTACGTTATCTGAACTACCACCTCCCCCACCACCATATTATTCTAAAATAGACAATTCCTAAATAAAGAAAAAAGTATGTTGTTTACTTATAATATATGTTAGGCTTACTGTAATCGAGTTAGTAGCATATTGTCTGTCTAGTATTTAAACAAAAATTTCACATTATGTATATATGGCGTATTATGCAATGAACTAAGAATTATTATTGATTCGTCATGATCTCACTAATGTGTAGCGTAAGAAGTGATTTTTTTCTCATTAGCATTTTTTAGCTAGTATTTTTTCTACGGGATAGGATTGCTGACTCCATGTCCGACCCTTCTCCTTTATCCGGGCTTGAGAGTGGCAGTAACCTTAGTAGGGCTCCAAGCGTGAATCACCAGACTGCATCACGAAGCAAGCCCTTAGAGTGGAATCCTTAGGGTAATAGGAAAAAAAGGAAAACAAAGAACATATTTCTCAGATAATTGGAAGCAGACATCAAAAGGATGAGTAACACTTGATAAAAACTAGAAAGGAGATCCCAGAAGAGTGTAGGTTTGAGATTCCTGGTCGATGGCCTATGCTCCACCAGGGGTAAAAGGCTTATGTAAGTAAGTAATGATCAAGATTGAGGTCACTTATGTCTTGAACATATGGGAAACAATCTGTGATGCTCAAATCACGTAAGTGTTCATGATTCATACAACTAATACATCAGCCTTGATTGAGATCATGAACAGATCAGTGTTAGATCACTATGCGAAACCTGAAAACACTGGATGACTGTTTCAACTTAGCATAGGACTCCTCAGCATTACGCTTCCACAATCCCGCACATGGGACTCGAATATAGGACCTTCGGTACCACGCACAAATGCTCAACCTGTAGACCGCTGAGCCGGCATGCAACATTGCTAATGTCTAACTTCAACCAATTCACTGTATTGCGCCACCATTCTCCATTGTGTTCAGTGTGTAACTATCTCACAGCAGACACAGTTGAAATCCATTGGTCATGGCTTTTCACTAGGACGCCAGGAATTTCCTCTTGAGGCTAGTAACACATCAATGTTAATTTGCAGTAAAATATCAAATGATCTAGCTTAAATAACCATATTTACACTGAGGTTGGCACAAAACGTTGGATGACACCAAACGGCTAACAATATAATATTTTGTATTCATTAACAACTGAATTCCTTCCGTACAATTTAACATTTATAAATGTTAATAATAAAAGCAAAGATGGATAGTGGTTAGCAGTGATATCCACCACGCGCTTTTCTTCCTATTTAGCACACGTCAGCTGGATGTACCTACATCTCAGAGTTGATGTTCATTATGGGACTTCAATCCAGTACCATTCACTTCAAACATTATTGAGTTATCCACTTATCTACTGAGTCCTGATAGCTACGTGCTTGTGTCCGTCTTTGTTTAGAATGTTTGTGAATTAAGGCTATATCGAGTCAATACGCACAGTATACATATATGCCAATAAGAGACTGATCAATTGCTGTCCTAAACATTAATGGATAGATTTAAATAAACAATACCAAGTGAATGTTATGAATATTTTTATTAAATTTTTATTAAATTTCAGGCTATACAATATGAAACTATGAAAACATCTTAGTGATTAAAATGGTTTCTATGCGCTAACAAATAAAAAATCATCAAAATTATTGATTTTTTTCTTTCTTTCTTTCTTTCTTTCTTTCTTTCAATTTGTAAACTATTGAAAATACTTTTTATTCTGTTGATGTACAAATGGAATATTTTTTTTGTATAAATATAACAAGTTCAAAAAAAAATAAATAATTTATTCATCCACTTTATGATATAGAAATGAATTTGAAACTTATACCCACCCCACCCCCCTTCTCCAACCCCCCTACCTCTCTTAATTTGCTCTAAAAAAGGAACTAGTTTCAAAGTGATTTCATCATATTATAAATTGATCAGTTTTTTTTTTGTGTATGATTTGCATGGTAACTAATTCGTTGATGAAATTGTTATGTAAACCGGTAATTATGTTTATTTTTATGTGTTCAGTTTATTGAAAGTAACTTTTCTTTTTCTTATTCAAGGTATGTATATAGTTATTGATGATCAATATCTTATGGAATCATCTTTAATGTGGTACCTAAATATTTTATAGTTAAGTTGATACTACCTCTTCTCAACTGAAAAAAAAGAGTGAGCGAGAGAGAGAGAGAGAGATGGAACTATTTCGCAATTTATTCGTAATATCTAAATACAGTATACTGTGATGGATAAATGACAGTTGATTACATAATATACTGTATGTTGACTATGAGTATAATGAATTCAGTGTTGTAAATAAAAAGTTTTTTTAAAGAAACCTACTGTAAATCATTGAATTTTATATTGACATTATAGTTTTTATATGAATATTTTATATTCTCAGTTCGAATCTCGCAAGGAGGGATCATGGATACGCACTACCATAGACGAGTTTCACAATAGGATAGAACAGCTATCAAGTGCTTCCAGATTTTTCCATGGTGGTCTAGACTTAATTGACCCATGATCTCAACTATTGGGAATATTTTATGATTTTATGGCGATTATTGAACTTATCCTGGATGACATTGAGATCAGCGTCTTTATTACAAATAATAAGAGTGTCAAACATATACCTTTTGTTTAAGTGAAAGTCGTCAATCGTCTGTTTATGTACTGTGTACTTAAGATTGACAATGAAACAATCCTCTAGAAGAAGACTAATTAATGAACATATAGCGATGTCATCAATTTGTCTGAACATCTCATTAGTCGTAAGTCGTCTAGTGAACACTGGATTCGGTTCCTAAGCTTATCTAGTAACCCCCAGGCTAAATCTACACAGCAACTGAAACACTAAAGAAAAGGCACGAAATATGGAAGAAAATACTTTCCTCTAAAGGTTTGTTTATGTACAGAAAATGTAGGGTGTTTATGGTGTTTTAGATGGCTTTGTGTTTCCGGAATATTCTGAAACTCTACTAAACATAGTATCAGTATAGGTAATCATTGAATCAGAAACTTGACATGTGACTTTTCACTTTTTGGATGTTTCTGGCAGAATGTCTTGTGAACAGTGATTGTATAAGATGTTTCTCAATGTTTTCAAAGCCTTTTTTTGTTTTTTTTCGAGGAGTTTTCTGGATATCCCCAACAATTAGTAAATCTAAATTGAACATTGAAAATTCCTTTAAACAATGTTTTGGAATTCCAACAGTGATGTTGTTATTTTCATTATTGTCACATACAAAGCCTATGGTCTCCGTCTCTCGTCCTTGTATAGGACGAGACGACATTCCAGTGCTTCAAGGTTTTCAGTAGGGGTCTAACATCGATCCATTTATGATCCTAATTAAAGCTCAACAATCTCGACAACCCCTATAGTGAGAATTTAAAGCAGATGAATGTTTTATGTCAAGAAATATAACGAAACAGATCCCTTGAAGTGAAACAACACAATAGTTTGATAGTATTTCATTAAAGAAGTCAGATTAACTACAGCAAGTTTTAAAGAATAATGGTATGAAGCATATCTGATGACTTTACTTCACTATGGTTACTTCATTCATAACTATAAATACTTGAAACTATAATACTGTCTAAAGTAACATTTATACGAATAGTGCAGTGGTATACTCTATGGCTGTAAAGCTGGATAACATAGAATCAAATCCATTAAGAAGCATCAATTATCCAAAAATTACAAGTATATCTTATTGATAAATGCCAAACAGTATGATACCTAGATCTAGGGTTTTCTGTTAGTTAACTCCAATCATCCACCACTCAACAATATTTACATGGAAAATAATAAAATCACACGATATATTTTGCTGTTAAAAGTACTTGTGAAGATTTTCTTATTTACTTATCATTATTATCATTACCATCCCAGAAGAGAGATTTCGCCTTGAGGAGTTAAGCAAATATACAGAGTTTTTATTATGAAATGTAATTGGTTTTGTTATTAAGGGGGGGGGTAAAGTGTAATTACATTGTTGTTACTAACGTGTTTTTTATATTCTTGGTAAAGGAGAATTGTAATGGAATTATTTAATGGTGAATGATAAATGTATCTTTTATGGTAAAAAAATAAAACAATAATGAGATAATGATGAATTTACCAAAGAATAGAAACGTCAATGAAAGGCTATAAACATGTCTGGATTCATAAGTATTTTCACTTGATATTGTTTTACTTGTATCTTCTTATTGTTCTTTAGAACTGAAATTGATCAGTATCTTGTTGGCATATGTGCATCCTGTACGAATTGCCTCGATATAACCCTGAAGTCATAAGCTTTATAAGAAAAGATGGGTAGTGGCTAGCAGTGGAATCCAGTTTGACATGCGTTTCATCAAGATAAGTGGATAACGCAATGATGTTTGAAGTGAATGTTATTTGATTGAAGTCCCAGAGTGAACATCAATTCTGAGATGTAGGTACATCTAGCTGACGAGTCCTAAATAGGAAGAAAAGCGCATTGTGAATTCCACTGCTTGCCACAATTCATCTTCGTTCACAATTATTTGAATACTGACTAGTAACCAATATCATATTTATATATTCGTCTAGTACTGCAGACTGATTTCGATCAATGAAGTTTTCGGAGTGACCCGATATCACGTGTGAGGTGATTGAAGGTATCTAGCAAGAAACCATACTTCATCTAGGTTTCAAGCTAGATGGCACTTGTCAATAAGATGTACAAATAATCTTAAGACAAATGATGATCTCTCGTGGATTCGCGACTACACTGTCCAATTTTACAATCAAAGATGGGCTTAAATCAACCAGAGAGAATCAGTTCCCTCAAAATTATAAGTACATCTTGCAGATTGAAGTCAAATAGTTTTAAACCTAGATTCAGGGTTTTCAATCGATCATCTTCAACCATACAGTATTTCTAGACTATTTGAGTTGAAAGAAGACAGAATAATGACATAAAAATCAATACATTTACGATGCCAATGTATTAAGAGAAAGTTCTAGATTCCAAATAAGCACACCATATAATAATAAGACTAACAGATGATAAACAGAAGGAATCATAGAAAACCAATAAATGGTTGACTTTCAATTATAAATTATAATCCTATGACCATAACATTGCCGTCAGAGTAAGGGTAGTGAACGAGAACACAGGTGAGGAAAACCAGGAGTATCTGAACACAAAATTACAGACTATCTTGTTAGAATCTGAGAACCATACAGTAAATACTTCATTTACAAAATATTCATCAATTGTCTGACACTTGATTGTTTGTTCATTTCCATACCAATCAATTTCTGTTCTCATTCTCTCCTCTCCGATCTTCTCAATATCTGCCATTAGGCATCCCACTTCCGACTGATGATAAATACTACTTATATCAGCAGTAGTTCACACCATAATAGGAATCAAAAAAACGTAGATGGAATTTAATTGAAATAAACTAAGAAACATTGAATAGACATTATAATTATCTCTTACTGTAGCCAGACATTAGAGGAAACGTAAATGAACCAAACTAACAAGGGAGAAAAGTATGGTTTGTACAAAAGATACTTCGGACTTGACATGAATATAAGTTAAAGGTACGATATAAATGAACAGTTATCAAAATTGATTTTACAAAATTAAGTCTAATGAATGAACTACTGTAGATATAGAATTATTTAAGGACTTAGATGTTATGATGAATAAACAAGTCCGGTAGTCAATAGGAAGCTATGGATCTAGGTTTCGTACTATTCGACACTCATCAGTGATGTGCATCGTGTCACACAACTTCACGGTTTGAAACAATACCATTGAAATATTCCTATTTAAGCTCACCACAAAGCATCAATTCTCTCATGGTTACTGGTATATTTTGTTGAACAGAACAAAATCCAGACTAAGCAGGATTTCTTGTCGACTATTTCCAACCACCACGTGAAATCCAGTCACTTGAACTTGAGACCACACTTCAACCTCATTAATGGAATACGATCAGCGCAAATAAACGGTTAAAAAACGACATTAGTTACTAAACAGTGATAAGTCAGTTCTCAGGTGGTTGAATAAAACAGTTCGCTTGGTAAAAATAAGATATAAAATTAACTTACAAGGCAGCAAGGTTCTTCAGGAAATCTATATATCCTACTAAGGAAAGAATAAAGAACATAAACCTACATATTTTACGAATCCAAAACTTTTTATATATGCGAGACCGTAGAATTGTTTAGTTTAAACTTAACATAGATGAATTACTAATTAAAACGTCGTCATCTATTCCTAATTCTGTATCTGTTCCAAACTTCAGCGCGACTAGTAACAATGTATAGTCAATTAGTGTGTAAGGGTTCATATCACTTAACTTTGCAAACCATATTTAGAAAATTTCGCATCTAATCAATTACATTGTACAACAGAGCATGTCATTTCAGTTTTGTAAATATAAACAGAAAATAATGCGCTACTTATATACACATAAGTAGTATATAACGATAGTCAGGCATAGAATGTATTTCAGTAGAAGATCGGGAAGGAAAGAACGGGAATGGAGAATAATTGGTATGAAGATGCAGGAACGATGAAATCTGAGACGATGAACTGATATTTGCA